GTTGAAACAAGACCAAAAAAAAAAAAAAAAAAAAAAAAAGCAGGTTAACCTGGTTAAGGGGATACATTCCCGCAATCCCCAATATTTATAAGGCTGAGGCAAGAGGATCACAGGTTGGAGGCCAGCCTTAGCAACTTAGTGAGATTCTCTCTCAAAAAACAAAAACAAAAATAACCTTAGCATGTGCAAGGCTCTAGGTTCAATCTCTAGTACTGCGATAACAGGAATAAGAATATTATATGTTTGTGATAGAGGGAGTTTGGAAATGGATGGATTTTAGTTTGGGAAATATCTTGTGGTACCTCATTAACCAGAAGTTCTAGAAATTTACATTTGGAAGTGGCCACCTGGTCTACAACTGGGTAGTTTTTCTTGGCAAATTGAGAGTTGACTAAGTTTAGTATTTTATTACTGGAGATCATATTCAGTTTTACACGAAGGTTTGCAGTGGAAGAATGCTCTAAAACATCAGGGCTCTGTTTATATTCAGTTCAGGGGAGAATAAACCACATTCAAGTGCCAGCGTACTTCTTGCAGCCAGCACTCAGTGTTGCTTTGTTTTCTGAATGCTGAGGCAGTGCTTTCGCTGTGGTGCAGGTGTGAAGAGAGGCTTGAGAATGAATCACAGGAATCTGTGGAGCCCTGCGACCAGCGATGTGATTTTCAGCTTCCTTGTGTGCCCCATTTTTTTCACTTATGAAATGAGGTTAGATGATATCAGAGGTCTTGCCAATACTAAAATTACCTGATTCTGAAAGAGAAACTAGAAGACAGTTTTATTGAACTTATACTGGAGCCATGGAAATGCATACTACACAATAGAAAGGCCCACCTTCCCATAGTTAGTTTTTTTCTGCAGCTCTTTGGGTGGAAGGCCCTGAATGGCAGCAGCCATGATGACAGACTTGGGAACTAAGAACTCTCTGCTGCAGCCGGGTCCGTCATGCTTGCACTGACCACCAGCAGCACCCATTTACACTGTTTCAGGCCGCTCTACTTGGCTGTGGAGGGTGGGTTGCTGAGTGTTTTTTTTTTAGTTGTTTAAAGTCAGTTCTCTTTTTTTTTGTTTGTTTGTTTGTTTTCTGTTTGGTGGACCAAGGACACTTTCAGGGTATGATATAAAGAGAAAACAAAAACAATAGATTTGGAGTGAGATAGACCTAGGTTCATATCCCAGCATTCCAACTGAACAGATATGATAATTTTATGGACCCCAGGTGACTCATCTGTAACCTAGGGATAATTATGCATACCTTTCAGGGTTTCGGTCAGGACTGAGCAAACCACAGGGAAAGCACTGTGTGCACTGTGATAGCTCCTGTAGGCACAGACTATGCACTCCTTTCCCCTAAGGGAGGCCTTGCCTGGGCCTCCCTTAGGGGAGAGGAAGAGTCTGTAGAACATCTGGAAAACACTTATGGGCATGATGCTAATCTCAGGCAGTCTCCTGGAATAATTCCCTCTCAGCCTGCCTTCCTCCCCACTTCACCAAGGACTCCTTTCCCCTTGAAAAAGAGGAGAGACAAGAGGAGCAAGTTGAATAGAGGAAAGGGCTCTGATTGTGGCCATGGTTTTTAGGAGGCCATTGACAGAGTTGGTATGAGACTTAAGCATAAGAGGAGGATCCAGAGAGGACCCATGGGAAGAGAGGAGGGTTGAGCAGAAGGACAGAAAAAGAAATTAATCTTGGAAGTCGTAGTACTGTGCACTAGGGATGAGAGAGCATCTTGGGAATGCCATACCAAAGGTCAAGGTGTTTTGTGGAAGTTTCCAGTTCTCTATTGGGCTACAAAATCAGGTGAAGTAAATGAAGATATCTTTTTCATGCAGGCACAAATTTAATCACTCCTGTGGTAATTTTGTTGAATGTACTGCTGATAAGGATGTGGGTGGCTATAGAGGAAATACTTTTCTTAGGGTGTGTAATAAGCAGTCAGTGAAATGAGGCCAGCAAAAGAGCGTGTGGCTGGAGATTGTTCTGGGAGGGTACGGGTTAGGCCTCATGGCTTCTCTCCTTAGCCCTGCCCCATCTTGCAGGGTCCTTTAGAATGTGCTGCTTAACCTCTTGTTATGACACACACTCTTTGGAAATTGGATTTGCCACCCACTTTCCCTGGGTGTGGAGAGAATGCAGTGATTTAAATGCCTTGCTCTGAGATGTTTGATAGCAGGGTATACATGCACACAGAAGAGTATCTGGTTTTCTAATGGCTACTGCCCTGTAATTGCAGATAGATGCAGAAGAAACACCTGATAAGAAACCTCTGAACTTCCCTAACGATACTTACCTAGTGTCACTGTGAAGCTCTGGAGTACCTCTGCTACTGGCGGTGCCATTTGCCCTCCCTGGGCTGGAGTGACAAGCAGCTCTGTGTTCCCACTGCAGAGCTGTGCTCACCAAGAAAAGAACCAAGACTCACCTGTGTTCCCCAGCGCAGATTACCTTAACAAAGCCAAGTCTGGACAGATTCTTTGGCCACTAACCTATCTAGCAGAAGTTTTAGGGCTAGAGGTCCCAGCTACCTCCTCTCTTCTTGCCACAGAACATGGCTGGTATATCTGCAACTGGGTGGCTATCACAATTGTTGATCCTTGAGCCTATCCAGGGTGTCTTAATTTGCAAGTCCTAGGGAAGCTTGGAAGTTCTATATTCCTATCAACAAAGGCAACTAAAGAAGTTAGATTATTTTTTTTTAATATAACACTGTTCTGTAAGGTTTGACTACTCCACAGATAGTTACTTGAGAGTCTCCCTGCTTAGACTCTGTCTGTGACTCTTCCCAAATGAAATGGGATGAGCAGAATATAATTCCAAATGCAGGGGCTGCTCTATACAATCAACTAATTTGATCTGAGCCTGAAGGACCTGGGCATTCTGATCTCAAGTGAGAAAAGAGGTGTGTCTTAAGAGAATGCCCATCCAGATACCTTGCTTTTTATCCTCCTGCTGTTGGAGATCTCTTTCTGGAGTCAGGAATGTGCTGCTGGACAGGAAGGCGCCCTTGATACCTGAGGCCACAGTGTTTGCAGCCTTTTCTGCCCTACCTGCTGCAGGCCTTCCTAGGGCCTCCCTGTGTGGGCCTGGAGCATGTATGAGGCCTCTGCCAATATGATGTCAGGTGTTTTGATGTGGGGCTGCAGGATTCTTCCTTCAGCCTCCCCTTCCTACAGCCTTACTGTGCTGCTCACTCTTCCCCCAGCGACAGTGGACAGAGCAGTTGTTGGTAACTACCTAGCTAGACAGCTCCACCTACATCATGTTTTAGGGCAATGTGAGACCTATTCCTCTGTTTAGATGGAGCATTTTTGCCCATGGTAAATGACCCTTGAAATAACCAATGAATAAAAATTTGGGAAATCCTTAGTTCTAAAATCCTACACTTCCAGAAAGAGATTTCTCTTGACATCTTCTTTGACACATAGTCCCTGATGAAGTTTTCAAAAAGGCTAGCCAGAATTTGGGGAGATAACACTTTTGTGAACGCACAACAAAATGGTTGGTTGCTTGGTTTGTGGTACTAGCAATGGAACACAGGGCCTTGTGCATGCTAGGCAAGCACTCTACCACAAAGCTACATCCAGCCCAGATGGTTTCTAAGGTATAAATTTCAAGCCTCCTCATACATGGATGAGTTTGTCACCTGATAATGTAGGCTAAAGAAAATAAGAAATGTATAGATATGTTTG